GGTATTTTGCCAGCAAAAAAAAAAAAAAAATTGCAGAAAGATGAAACCGTTTTCCATTTCTTTCCACCCCATAGTCACTGGGTAGCTCAGGCTATGAGAAAGCAAAAATAATCATCAATGGATGATTATAGTTCTACTTATGGCCACAACTCACATAAACTTGTACTCCTGTACATGAGCCTTTTTTGTTTTTAGAACAAAGAGGTAGATGGGGTAAGGGTGATGTATTATCAAGTTTGCCCCAGATCTTTCAGTATCTTACAAAAGATTCATGCATCTCTCCCCAAAGTTATTTTTTTCCATTCTAGGGTGGTAGAAATCGTCTTTGTATAACTTTTTAGTTTTTCCTGAGGCTTGCATTTTCCTTCAAGTCCAAGTTCTCTGAAAAGGAGTTGAGCCAGAGCCCACCCTGGAAGGCTCTCCCTACCTCATTGGACCACTACAATCTTATTGTACACAAATTTAGAAAGACTATTCATTGTAAACTAGAAATATTGATCAGGATGGGCTTGGCACTGTGACATTTCGTGCATATGTTATTTCATTTAATCTTTCCAATAATCTTGAGAGGCAAATATTGTGAACCATTTTATAGATAAGGAAATTGAGGTTTAGGAAGGTTAAGTAACTTGCCTAATGCCTCACAGCCAACAAGTCTTAGGGCCAGTCTGAATCCAAAATCCATGTATAATCTGGCATCTGTCCTTTACGCTGGTGAGAACATGGGCTGCTGAAAGAACCACTGTACAGACAGCCCAGGAATGGAATTTCTTTGCCTCTCTTCTCCCCTTTTGGGTTTTATTGGGGAGATGGAGAATAGGTGAGTGTAGAATGCTAAATCCTTTCATTTATTCATTGCACAAATAATTGACACTTTTCTGGGGCCAAACCTTTGCCAGATCAGCCAACATCCTTAACCCACTATCATTTTTGGTATTTTTGTGCTGCTCTCATATGCTGTCAGTGGGAGGTTCTTTCTCGTCTCTCCTGTTGTCATTGATCCTGAGTCCATTGTACATTACAATCTAGACCCACAGCTTAGTCAGGAAAAAGGATCTTCTCCCTCTTCACCCAAATCTTCAAGCTCTTTATAGGCTGCTGGTCCACAGCCCCCAAAACTCTCCCTCTTCATCAGGAAACAGGCTCTTTCCAGAACTCCAGGCTTCATCCAAAAGCCTCTCTGTGGTGGTTTTAAGATATCTTACAAATGCTTTGATACTCTTCCTTGTATCCTGATGGAGTCTAATTTTCCTCCCCTTGAGTGTGCATTGGACTTAGTGACTTGCTTCTAACAAAAAGACTAAATCAAAACTCATGGAATATGACTTTGAAGACCAAGTCATAAATAGCCATTCCTTTTTTTCCTTTGGAGGAAACAAACTGCCATGTCCTGAGGACACTCAAGCAGCCTCTGGAGATGCCCATGTGGCAAGGAACTAAGGCTCCTTCCAACGTGCAGGAGAATGAGCCATCTTAGAAGTGAATCCTTAGCCCCAGTCAAGCCTTCAGATGCCTGTGGCCCCTGTTGACATCCTGACTACAAACTCACAGGAGCTGCTGAGCCAGAACCACCCAGCTCATCCATGACCACAGAAACTGTGAGATAATAAATGTTGGAATTTTAAGCCACTTAATTTTGGGGGAATTTGTACTCTCCTAAAGTCCTCTGTTGCATGGCCCTCTGGCGACAACCACCTATAGGTGCAGCTCCTTAAGGGGCTGTTGCTTGGCCTCCACGAGGCCTGCTGTGGTCCTTAATCTCTATAATTTGTGGAACATTGAAAGCACACGCCCAGGCTTCAACCCCTGGAGCTTCTTACCCAGTGGGTCTGTAATAGTTCCAAGCATCTATATTTAACTAAATGATTAAAAAATAAAGAAAAAAGAAACCTATTCAAGGATTTCTGAAGAATACTCTTGGTTGAGAACCTTGCTGCTCTTTTTGACTATAAAAAGCCACAGTCTTCTCTACTCTGCATCTTCTGTGTTCTTTTTCTGTGGACTGATTGTGAGGAGCTCAAGTCACCATTCAGCTTGTCCCCTCAGCCGTTGGGGAGCCTGGCAAACAACCAAGCTCAAACCTATCAAGCAGCCCTTCTCAAACTCGAATTGCATCAGAGTTACCTGGAGGATGACCGCTGGGCCCCAGAATTCCTAGTCACATAGGTCTGGGGTGGAAACTGATCATTTGAATTTCTAGTATGTTCCCAGGTGATGCCGCTGCTACCAGTCTGTGCCCGCACTTTAAGAAATGTTGCTAAAAAGTATAGGACCTGTATTTCAGCTTTTCTTCAGAAATAGTCCAAGATCCTACCTATGTCACGGGCAACAACAACAACAAATGAAAACAAACAAAAACTCATCCATTTTTGCCTGGATAAGAGTAATCCATGGTGAGAGAAATTCTCATTATGGTTATTTCGGAGGATAGGAACTGGAAAGGGACTATGAAGGGACTTCCGGGGTGCTCGTAACATTCTATTTCTTGATCTGAGTGGTGGTTATATGAATATATTCTCCTTGCAAAAATGCATTTGAGCTGGACACCTACAATTTGTGTACTCTTCTGTCTGTACATTATACTTTAAAAGTCTACTTAAAATGAATAATAAAGATAGATGATGTCGAAACCTGGATGAAATGGGCCTCCCCATCACCAGCCCGTGCCTCTGTTTGCAAGTTGCTTTCTCCCAGGGGCGTGCTGGCAACCCAACAAAGATTTTCTTTTTTCTTTCTTTCGTTTTTGCTGGCATCGTTTGTGTATGCGATACCCAGGGAGTGTCTGCTTCCCAAGCTGTCATTTCTTTAAAAACAAATATGGGTCTTCAAAAGAAATTATTGTAAATGAAGTATTTGCATGTTTTAAATTGCTGCAATAATATTGATAGAATAACCTGAAAAGCAAGATAACCATCACTATCAATTAAAAATAAAATAAAGCTTCAAAAAAAGAAAAGAAAAGCAAGTTGAGCTCTTATGAATGCTTTTGAGAATCCTGGTTTGTGTTCTGCGGTGCAGCTTTTCTGAAGAGTAAGAATTTCAGGAGGGAATGAAAACTCACCCAAGATTTACCGCCCATTTCTTTGAAAAGTTCTGGAGGCATGAGATTTTTTTTTTCTTCTGGGTGAGGACAGATGTCACCTAAAGAATGCCCTGTTTCATCACATAAAACTTTTGGAGTCTTAGTGAGGAAACTTGTTTTGCAGATTTTTTTTTTTTTTTACCAAAAATGCTAATTATTGCTAAAACTCCTCTAGAGACATCCCACTTTCCAAATCATTCCTTTTCTACAGTGTAAGTTGATGGGTTAAAAGGTTTATTCACTCTAACAGATTGGTTTCAAATGTTACTGAGGCCAGGCAGGTTGCTTTGGGTCTTCTAACTTTCAGGTGATATGCAAAATTGTTATTTTGAAACTCAGGAGCTAAGTAGGACACTTTTAAGCATATTTGTTGGTGAATATCAGACTTCAAATCACTGCAGAAGACAATGGGTCATCCTCTATTGGATGTTGTCTTATCTAAAGGAGAGACATTGTAATACAATATTTAAATTCACAGGCTTTTGAGCCTAACTAAGGATTTGAGCCCCTGCATCGCCAACTGTGTGGCCTTGAGTAAATTAATTCTTTCTCTCTCCCTCCAAACTTTCATTTTTTTCCTTCTGTTAAATAATATTAGTCAGAGGGCTATTAGGAACATTACATACAATGATATAAAGGATTTAAACCTTTGCCTGGTACATAGTAAACTCTCAAGGAATGGTTGCATAATTATTAAGAAATGAAAGGAAATTAATAAGTGAATAATTTTATTCAGTTTTGAAATTCCAGTTCTCCATGTCTTTCTAATGCAAACAGGAATGAATAAATGATATTTATTACATGTATACATAAATGAGTAAGTAGTGAGTTTTTTTCTTCCCTGCAATTAAAAAGTATCCAAAAATTGTGGGAAAAGTGGTTGCCCAGGGATTTGGGGGGGGGTGGAGAAGGGGTAACTAAAAAGGGGTAGTTGGAGGGAGATCTTTGTGCTTTTTGGTAATGGAATAGTTCTGCATTGTGATTGCAGTGGTGTTTACACAAATCTATACATGATAAAATGACATAGAACTATATACTCACATTATACCAAAGTCAGTTTCCTAGTTTTGCTATTGTACTATACTATGTAAAATATAACCATGGGGGGAAACTGGGCGAAGAGTATACCAGAGCTCTTTGTACTCTTGGTGCAACTCCATGCTAATCTATAATTACTTCAAAATAAAAAGTATCTATTGAGAATTTCCTCCTTTTACCAGAATTACAGTATGTAGATTTGTCACTCTGTATCTCTGGTGATCCAGTTTGAGTTCTGGCTTAAGCTTTGGTGTTTTCCCTTAAATATAATACTCTAAGTGCATCTCTCTCCCCATTGTTACCCCTTCCAAGACCAATTCACTCCTTCACTACATGGGGCTAAGGATTAAGTGGTAGTTAAATATGCCACGGATAGGACTCCTAAAAAAATGCAAAGTTTGGTCATCTTTGATTGTAAAATATTCTCAATTGAATTACACTGGGCAGTAAAATTAAGTATTAATACGTGGCTAGGTATTTCAGTCTCCTTTCTGCCAGCAGCAGCAAGGATATGAATATATTACTAAAATCCTCTGGGATTAAGACAATTTAGTATCAGCTCACAGTTGGAAGTCCTGATAGGATACTCCTAATAAGCCAATCAGCTAAATAGCAAGAAAACCAGACATCCTTAATTCAGGTGATTTGGTGGTTACACAGCTGTATTTCCAGGATGTAGACCAATGCCTGACCACTTAATAAATATGTATGGATGAATGAATGAGTGAATGAATGAATGATGGGACCATTAAGATAAGCCATGAGAAAATTACAAAGTCTAAAAGTAAGAGTAAAGAATTAGTTCATCTTTGTGATTCAGGTCTTGACAAAGCAGGATCTGCCAGGGAACCCTCTAACCCTTCTCTCTTTGCTTCTCTAGGCAGCTTGAAATCCACTCTCCAGACGCAAAGCACACGGTCGTCCTAAGGAGCAAGGACTCAGCCACTGCTCAGGCCTGGTTCAGTGCCCTCCATTCCAACGTCAATGACCTGCTGACCAGAGTGATTGCCGAGGTCAGAGAGCAGCTGGGGAAAACAGGCATTGCAGGGAGCCGAGAGATCAGACACCTTGGCTGGCTTGCAGAAAAGGTAAGGAAAATATCTCTCTCTAATAGTCATTTTCCCCAACATTCCCCCTGCACTTGTTGTAACCACTGAAGTTATCTCATTCATAGGCTGATTCTCTCGTTCACAGTCTATATGAATTTCTCATGCATCTGCAACAGGTTGCATACATTTGCATTATAGAGGGGCTTTGTCTTAATCAAATTTGAGTCCCCTGCACATGTCAAATATGTGGCAAATTGCAGGTGGTCACTAGTTGTTGTATGGATGAACGAATGAGTTGATTTTAACATCCATATATGAAGGGCAAAGAAAAATAACTCAAACTCATGACAGAGCTGTTGCCTTGGGAGGCAAAAAAGTTGAAATTACTGCTTTAAAAGGGTTTGTGTGGGTATTGATGAGCCTGCTTATTAATAACATGGACACTTTAGGGATGATTCAATTACACATTTACAAATAATAGCAATAATAATAATAGCAGTAGGGATTTCTTGGGCAACTACTATGTGCTGACTCTTTTCATATATTTTATTGTATTTGTGCCAGCAGGCCTGCAGGTCCTAAATGTTATCATTAAAGAGCGCCTACTTTGTGTGAGGCCCTGTGCTAACCAGGAGTGGGGAGGGGAGCATTAAAATGAATAAAGACTTAGTCTATGTCTCAGGGAGGACAGCTGCTATGGAAAAAAACTTAGTGTCACATTAACACTGTCACTCTGATTTCTTTCCCCAAGTTATGTGATATGTTAAAGATAGTAAAGCTCACTTTGTGGCCATCTCTAGGGAGTTACTCATTCTCTTCATTTCAAAGCATCGAGCCTTTGCCATTGTCCTTACACCTGATTGCTGTCCCTTGAACTGGACCTTGAGTGCTCAGGAACACTGGGCTTTTGGGACAATCTGACCTCCCAGTGACTCGATTTCTAATAGGTGGTAAACAGGAATAATGATCGCTGCAATAACAGTTTTCCTGCCAGTGAACCCTGTCATCGGAGAAGGCCCAGTCAAATGGCACTTTGGAAATAATACTTGAACACAGCATTCGGCTGTTTTCCACCATTGTTCTTGTATGGGTTCACAGCAGTTCATGTATGGGTCTCAGCCGCAAAGTTCAACACAAAGTGGATTCTTCGGTTTGGTATTGTCCTATCTCTTGCAGATTTCAAAGAACCAAAGGGACAATGCAATGCGGGTGGTGGGAGCGTCCAAAAGCATATTAACACAAATCGCAGGTTGGCTTTCATAAGTTGATGTGTTAGGATTCTTGATGAAAACACCATAAATCTGGATGATTGACATAATTTGAAAAGTCACAGTCTCTAACAAAGTCTCCACTTTTTACTCTCTCCAAATTCATGTGTTTTTAGTAGGAGAAGACCTGTTATTCAGGGATCTTTCAGTTGCAAAGGACAGAAAGCTTAACTTACTTTAGCTTGAGCAAAAGGGGATGCATGGCTTCTGATAACTGCAATGTCTAAGGATAAGCTTAAGGCATGGTGCGATCCAGGGATTCAAATGATGGTAATAGGCCCACCTCTTCATCTCTTTGTCCACTTCACTGACTTATTCCCAGACAAGCCGTCTCTAGTTGGCCTGACAGTTCTAGGTTTGTGTTTTCCTCACACCTAGCTATCTCAGTGACAAGAAGCTTCTTTGCCCCAATCATTCCAACAGAAGTTCTGAGATTACAGGTCTTACTTGACTGACTTGGATCATATGTTCAGCCCTAGTTGGTGGTGAGATCAGCCTTGCTCAAGTCATTTGCACGGAGAGATGAGAAGGAGTGGTTCTCTCATAGTAAATTAGGGTATTGTGCAAGGAAAAGAGTGGAGAAACACCAGGGGAGCAAAAGCAACAGACATTCACCATAGAAGGACCAGGGAAGGAACTGATTGTGATGAAAAATGCCCTCACTTGGTTAAGGTCCTGAGGGGACTTGGAGATATACCACATATTTCAGGGTTCTGGTAGGAGATGGATGGGAAACTCAAAAGGGATGATTGGAGAGGATTTAATGCAGGGTAGTTTATATGGTGTGGCCAAGATAAGGGACACCAATAAGAGATGGAGAAGCACTCCAGGGCTAACAGCAGTGACCATTTCTTGACCTGAAAGAGCAGAGGAAGGAGCAGTTACCTGAAATTAGCAAGATGTGTAGCTGGAGAAAAGCACCACCCACTACCGGCTGTGGTCTTTGGGAAAGAAACACAGCCTCTGCTGACTGATCTCCTGCTGGTGTCTCCCAGTGGCTGAAGCTGGCTGGAAGTGAGAGCCAAGGAGCCCTACTGATGCGCCAGGGCAGAGAGCAGGGTGGAAAAAGTAGGAACCGGATCTGCAGGGGCAAAGGGTGGCTGGCCAGCATGCACATCCCCGCACCTCATGAGAGGATGGTCTCAATTCTCAAAGGTGCTTTTCTCTCATCTGTGTAAACACAAACCGTGTTTAGAATCATTACCATTTGGATGGTCGAAAAACGATATTGCATCATTATTAGTGATACTGAAAAATATTCCAAAGGTTTTGTTTTCTCACTCATAAATTGTCTTCTGCCCTTTGTTTATCCCAAATTATTAGTAGACACATTATTAGGCGTTCCCATGGAACAGTAGTAAAGGTGCATATAAAGCTCTTCCTATTTTTACAGTAGTATTTTTCATATGATGTAATTTCAGACTGTCTTACAGATGTCTCCTTGAGGGTATTCGTAAGAGCAGTTATGACTTATCATGGACAATTATTAGAAGGAAGAATGTCTTTTATTGCCTTTATCTTCACACTTCTCGAAAGATTACCATAGATCAAGTTCAAGGGAACAAATCCAAACTGGAATTTTTTTGCATAAATATTTAATACTGGCTCCTAGTGTGGAGACATATGAATGGTTTTTAGCAAAATGTTACAATGAATGGCAAATCCTTAATACTATACCTTTCTTATATTATCACAAATATCAGTGAATTCACTTGGTATTTGTAAAGCTATAAAGTATGATCCTATATATATTCAGCTGTAATTTACCTTCAATTAATGTCCTTTGTGTTTTCCTATATTGTTAAGCTTTGACTTTGTAGATTAATAACAATAGCTCTGTGACAAGATTGTACAAATTATATTTAATTTCACCTTTTGGGAAGTGGACTTTACATGAACAAAAATAATATGCAATAACAACTTCCTTTTTAAATCCGGTTCAGTACAAATCCTAAAACCTCCTTGACACTACACAGCAGGATATTAAGGTTATTCTTCTCTTTGAGATGGTCTGGGGACCTAAAGAATGGCTTTTGAGAAATGATGAGGTTTTGAGTTAATGGGGAGAGTTCTCTGCATGCCAAGAGAGGAGAATGAGGATGACAAAGGAGAGGAGGCCTGCGTTGGCACAGCTTGTAGGGAGAACAGGCCAGAGGCAGATCTACAGGGACACAAGGATTCTTCCTGGAGGAAGGTGACAGGACAACCTCATACCTTGAAGTGGCACCCAGTTATGGAGGAGCTTGAAAGCTGGACAGAATGGTTTAAATTTGATTTGGTGGGTAATAAGAAGCCTTCATATACAAAATCAGACAGAGAGTAACTTCGAGGTGAGGTCATCTAACACAGCCTATTCTTTCTGCAGATGAAGAATCTGGGCCCAAGAGAATGGAAGGTGTTTGTATCTAAAGTCACACCCAAAACTAAAATACAGAACTAATTATAGAGTAGGACAATGCTGTGATATTATTTCTTCTTTAATTTTTTTAAAAATTGGCAACTCATCTACTGTAATCACTTCTTTTTATTTCAGCATATTATGAGGGTACAAATGTTTAGGTTTCATATATTGCCTTTGCCCCACCCAAGTCAGAGCTTCAAGCATGTCCATCCCCCAGACGGTGCTCACCACACCCATTAGGTGTGAATATACTTATCCCCTCCACCCTCCTCCCACCTGCCCGACACCCGATGAATGTTACCACTATATGTGCACATAAAAGTGTTGATCAATTGATACCAATCTGATGGTGAGTACATGTGGTGCTTGTTTTTCCATTCTTGTGATACTTGGTAGAATGGGCTCCGGCTCTATCCAGGTGATCACTTATTCTCTCCTTAAACTCTAGTGACCTTTCTTGGACTCTGCAAAGTATCAGGGCCAGCGCTGGGCCAATGGCCTTTGAGCTGGGGCCATTTTCCTTGTTTTCTTGACTGCCCGTCTGTTAACAACATCGTAGCTACAGTTCTGCGCTGCTTTTCTCTGGGAGTGCCGGCACCTGTAGGCAGGCCATACCTGTCAGCGTAAAGCCTTTCCTGTGATCATATTAGCCTCTCTGAATTCTTTGCAAGCTCCAATCTGGCCTAAGAGGGGCCATAAGCACTACTTCCTACCCTGACTTGCACACTGCACCATGCCCCAACACATTTTTTTCAATCTTTGTTTTTCAGTTAATCTTTTTACAGCTGTCATTGCATTGAGGTGTTTTCAGTGGTCCGAATTTCATACAAGAGAAACACAAGCTAAGTTCTGACTCTCTTGCTACGGAGAAAAAACAGTCATAAACAGGGACACGGCAGAATTGTTGAGTTCTGTTTCATGGTCAGTTCATCAGGCGTTGCCTTTGCTTTACCTTATTATATCAGTTTGTAGATTATTTGTCAGGTTAAAATGCAAAAACACAACACAACAAAACAAAAAACCCTACTGGGAGCTCTGAGATGCAAGTTCAGTTCTCAGCTCTACTCATTCCCATTTCAGTTTCTTTCAAAAGGGCATGTTTGTATAGCTGTGCCTCCCCGTGGTGTTATTGGAGGAAAGGAAGTTGGTAATTCGTATTTATTACATGCCTAGTCTGTTTCAGGCAATGTGCTTTAAATAATCCCAATCCTCTGATGTAAACTTGGAGAATTTGGGTAACTTTTCTAAGATCTCTCTCCTAGCAAGGGATAGAGCTGGAATTCGAGCTGCTCTTTCCAACTCCAAAGCCCAGCACTTTCCACTAAGCTGAGCTAATAAAAGGGTCCAGGAAACATCTGTCCACATGAATA